AAATTTAGTCGGAACGGGGCCCAAGTGTTTCCTGACGCCGGTGTTAGATGATGACCAACCGTTGGAGCTTTTGGTCATCTAATCGAGGCCTTCCGCTGGCTTACCGTTTCACCCCTTTAAAAATTGTGGTTATAGTTATGAAACTGGTAACCAACAAAGTTCTGATTGATGTCTCGGTAAATTAATAATCAATGATTCAATTATAAGAGATAATTACGGAACTCAGGCCCACCTTAAGATGCAAAAAAGTCATATTCATTATTCAAAGCATTTTTGCTCACTCATTTTTACTGAAAATTTTACAAAAGGTTAAATTATACGAGTGTGCGGAGCATAAAGGCGTAGGTGACACTTGACGCTGTAATGAAAATGACTCTTAATTTATCCTTAATCCAGGTCAAACAAGAATTATTTATTGTAAATGAAATATTAGTACAGGATACAGCCATTGCATCTATAATGGATCAAGGTCTTTCTCTCTCTCTGAATTTATATATATACATACATTATATATATATATATATATATTATATATATATATATATATATATATACATGCGCAAAACAACCACTCTGAAAGAATAGAGAAATTCAAGCGCTTTCGTGACTACTCACATTATCAAGGAACTATCAAGGAACATAGTTCCTTGATATGGAGTAAGTAAGTCACGAAAGCGACTTGGAATTTCTCTATTCTTTCAGAGTGGTTGTTTTGCATATTCTGAAATCACCTGTTTACTGTGATCTTATTGCATATATATATTATATATATATATATATATATATATATATATATATATATTATATATATATAATATATATATATATATATATTATAAAATTTGCGTCATACAACAGTACCTGGTGTTTCGTATCTGTCATTAGAACTCCATCTATCCACCATGTAATAACGGCAGGAGGCCTGGATCCCCTAGCCTCGCAGGATAAGGTATACTCCTTCCCCTCAGTCATAGGCAGGTTGTCCTCTTGAATACCTACTTCCAGCGGGGGAACTGTAAAAGTGAGAGGGATGGTACGTGGCTGGATACCAACTTGATGGTTACGGATGTTACGAACTGATACATTGTTTGTCCAAAAGTTTTGAATTCATTTGAAATGAAGAATTAAGAGCATTCGTAAGGTAGTGTTGATACCCTGAGCTTGGCACTGATTCCCAAATTCTCTCGGTTCTTCTTTTTTTTTTTTGCAATTTGGCTTTTTGGCACAATGTAATCGAAATCACATTTTGGTAAATATAATCTTATTTCAACCCTGATTTTTTTATGCATCATAACTGGAGCCTCTTAAATCGTCTTTCAGATTACTATCTAGTACATAGTTAATAGGGGACTAGTACCAACATTCTGATACTGTAACGAGACGTAGAATCTAGCATCCTAATATTGTTCTAACTGGACATTAAGATTCACATTCTAGCACTGTCTTGAACATTGAATTTAGCAACTTAGAACTCTCCTAGCAGGACACATTAACAATTTATAGCTGTCTTACTTGGGCATTGACTTTAATAATTTGGTACTGACTAACACTAACAATATTGCACTGAGACTAACAATTTTGCACTGACTAACACTAACACTCTTGCATTTACTGACACTAACAGTCTTGCACTGTCTTAATAACACACTGAACCCTGTCCCTGGCCCAACAGAACACTGGCACTAGCACAACGCCTCTCTCATTGCCCCAGAAAGGTAAGTACCAGTGGCACTCACAGCTCATGTCGAGAGTGACGGTGGCAGCGAGAGCCACAGTTAGGTTAGAGTTGTTACAACGACAGGTTAGCACTCTATACAGGTGTTGGCGGGTCAGGTTAGGCAAGGTCAAGATATTCCTTGTGACCTGACCTTTAGCCTCCTCCACAAGGTCATCCAGAAGAGACTCTTCGTGCCACCAGTTGACCCAAGGTCGGGGTGACCCTGAAAATAAATAAAACAAATGTTTTTAAAAAAAAAACTTTGCAAAAAATATTAATTACTATTTTTGTTGTTGTTTCCCTGTTTTCTGTTTTGTTCTTAATTCCGTTTGCAAGCTGTTTGTATTGTTGTATCTTAATTTTGCTGTTTATTTCATGTTTTTTTTTTTAATATTTGTCTCTTGATTTCATTGTTTGTGTCTTGTTTTCCTTGTGTTTGTTTTGTTTACACTTTGTCTTGCTTTCATTGTTTCTCGTTTCCGTTGTTTTTGTCTTGTTTTCATTATTTGTGTCTTGTTTACACTGTGTTTTGTTTGCATTGTTCGTAACTTATTTTCACTCTTTTTATTTTTACTATATTTGTCTTAGTACCTCTTTTTGTGACTTATTTATATCCACTTTTGTTGCTTTGCTTATTTGTCTTTGTATTTTGTTTGTTCCTGCTGTTTCGTACATTATCATTTATTTCTCATCTCTCGTTTTTGTAACCTCTTGCTGTTTTCTGTTTTCTAATCTTCTTTCCCCCTTTTTTGTTTCTTTCATTGTTTCTACTTTTTTTATCTTGCTAGTTTTCTTCTCTTTACATTTACCTAAATGTTTAGAGAAAATGAGAAACGTATTTGTTTTGTTTTTGACAGGGATATGACTAAGTTTTTTGTTTTTGCTTCAAGAAACATTGATAAAAATGCAATTAGTGTATTGAAACAGATGATGAACAGGGAAAATATCCGCTAATGATGAGTGATAATGTCAGGAATGATAATGAAAGGAATGATAGCGTAAGGAATGATAATGGAAGGAGTGATAGCGTAGGGTATGATAATGGAAGGAATGTTAACGTAGGGAATGATAATGGAAGGAGTGATAGCGTAGGGAATGATAATGGAAGGAATGTTGACGTAGGGAATGATAATGGAAGGAGTGATAGCGTACGAAATGATAATGAAAGGAATGATAGCGTAGGGAATGATAATGGAAGGAATGATACCGTAGGGAATGATAACGGAAGGAATGATATCATAGGGAATGATAATGGAAGGAATAATAACGTAGGGAATTATAATGGAAGGAATGATAACGTAGGGAATGATAAGGAATAATAACGTCAGGGATGATAACGAAAGGAAGGATAGTGTCACGGATGATAACGAAAAGAATGATAGCGAAGGGAATGATAACTAACACAATAATATAGTCAGGAACGAAACTCAGGTTGCCTCAGTCAAGCATGCTCGACTCTGACCTTGTAAGTGCTGGATAACGATGCTCATTTGCTACTGGAAGAGAGAGAGAGAGAGAGAGAGAGAGAGAGAGAGAGAGAGACAGACAGACAGACAGGCAGGCAGGCAAAGAGAACTCACATGTCAGTTATGTTCATTACATCCTAAGATAAAATACCTTCTACCTACTTCTACATTTATGTTATAGCTCTTGCCACTGAGTTTCATGCCTTAATTTTGTTTCTTCAGTTGCCTTGAACTCTAAGTAACATTTTCGTGTATCTGTCAAATTCTTTCAGTATTTATTCTTAGTATGAGAGTGAGATCTTCCGGTTGTCTCGCCCTCTTAAGAGAATACATGTTCATTGTGTCGTGTCTCTCCTGGATTACATTTTAATGAAGGTATTAGCTTCGTCGCCCATCTCTGAACCCTTTCATTTTTATCTTAATCTTTCTGGGCCGTTCTGGGACCGAAATTGCAGAACATATTCAAGGTGTAGTCTAACAAACGCACGGGAGACCTAGGCACATATAGGAGAATAAGATTTTAACGGTGGAACACTTGGCTGGCAGGAGAGCATGATCAAGCTCTTGTTCTGGTACTGCTCTTCATCTCTATTAGTGCGGGCAGTACAGCCTTCAAGAGCGCTTGAAGTAGGGGTACAATGTCGACAGTGTTGAGAGAGAGAGAGAGAGAGAAAGTGAGAGATAAAGAAAGAGAGGGGGAGGAAGAGAGAGAGAGAGAGACCTTTTCTATTCACATAGCCTACATTCCTGTCAAAATATATACAAATATTCTGCTCTGGGGAATGTCACAATATGCTGGTGGAGGAATCCTCTTGGGCTGGTCCTAAGGAAATCCTAGTAACCGCTACACGAAAGGTCACAAAGGTACTATAATGTTAATACCAAGCAACCTTAATAATCTCTGCGACTGTTGTCTCTTATGAAACAATGTACACATTCTGTTTCTTTTAGTATTTCCTGTGACTTTGGATTCAAATTCCCTTTGTTTTGAACATGATACGTTGCAGCGTAACCCTCACTTAGGAGTGGAATTTTTTGACGAAGTTTCGGTCCGTCCAGAACCAATGTCAAGTAACAACTGAGGCGAGAATATTAGAGAAGGCCAGAAGATGCTACAGGAGGAAGGGCAAGAAAAAAATTTTGGTGGTAATTGTACTAGTTTCGCTCTGATTAGAGCGAAACAGATGACTTATAACTTTCTTTTATAAACACTAGGAACATGTTATGGCTTTTCGTACTTTCCTCCACTGACCTGAGTGTTTGGAATCTCGTGTGACCTGTTCCTTTTACTTCCAGCGTCCTGAGCTAGGAACCTAGCTCAGGACACCTAGTTTGACCTGTAATACTTACCTCCAGTGTCCTGAGGTTGCTCCTACGTCTTGTACATCCCTCCTTTGAATACTAGGAACGTGATGTGACCTGTTGTACTTACCTCCAGTGACCTGACAAGTGAGGACGAGAAGTCCGCCTAGAGGATACGGACCAATTACCCCAGTCACCTCCTTGCCACTCGCAGCCAATATAGTCACCCGCTTCGGCGGTTCTGTGAATCCAAAACACCGGAATGTTACCCTATTTTTTACAGCTTGGAATGACATGGTATTCAATTCCATGGTTTTCAGTACCATGGTATCATATTACTGTTGGCATACAACGCCAACAAAGTGAGGATTAAGACACTTGTGAAACACTTGGGTATCTTTCACAAATAACCCGCACATAGAAGAGAGGAGCTTACGACGACGTTTCGGTTCGACTTGGATCATTTACATGAGACACATCGGCAAATAAAGGTACCGAAGTGTTCAACATGTGTCTTATTCATCGCTGTGGATGTTTACTGAACGCACCTGCACACCACAGCTGCGCAGGTACCCTGGTTGCTTCATAATAATAATTGTTAAGTAAAAGGACACAAGTGCAAGTAATGTGACATTTCACTGTGGCAACGTTTCGCTCTCCAGGAGCTTTGCCAAGCCGTTACGCCTTGACAAAGCTCCTGAAGAGTGAAACGTTGCCACAATAAAATGTCACATTAGCTGCACTTCTCCTTTTACTTAACATTTGTCGGTAATTCTACCAACGTTAATACATAATAATAATAATAATAATAATAATAATAATAATAATAATAAGCAATCCTATTCACGTAAGCTCCATTAGGGAGGCAACAATCGAGACAGTGTAAGAGTGATGTAGGCACGACTCTGTAAATATTGTGAATAATGAAGCATCCCAAGGGTGGTATCAGCCCGGCGTGCGTGTTATAATATTATTGATGGTTTACACTTCCGACAAATTGATGAATAAGACACAAGTGCAAACTTGGGTATTTTTATTGCATCTAAGGGATCTTTTTCAGTCGAATCCAGAGGTGAATATGATTCTGGAGACTGTGGAGAAGGTGGGCAGGAAATTTTGAGGTGTTGATTTACTCGGTCTATGCTAGAAGAGGTTTAGACCCTGAGCTTTAACAGAAGGTGTTTAATCTCTTAGCCATGGCAGAAGATGTTCAGTAACTCAGCCTTGGTGGAAAGTGTTCACTTCCAGTGCCTTGACAGATGGTGTTTATTCCCAGTGCCTTGATAGATGGTGTTTACTACCAGTGCCTTGACAGATGGTGTTTACTCCCAGTGCCTTGACAGATGGTGTTTACTCCCAGTGCCTTGACAGATGGTGTTCAGTCCCTCAGCTTTGTTAAAGTGTTCAGTCCCGTGGACTTGATAGGTGTTCATTCAGTTCAGCAGCCTTAACAGAATATGTTCAGGCCTTAGTAAAAGATTTTAGTCCCCTCACTCTTAACAGAGGGTGTTCAGTTCCTCAGCCTTGATAGGTGTTCAGTTCCTCAGCCTTGATAGGTGTTCAGTTCCTCAGCCTTGATAGGTGTTCAGTTCCTCAGCCTTGATAGGTGTTCAGTTCCTCAGCCTTGATAGGTGTTCAGTTCCTCAGCCTTGATAGGTGTTCAGTTCCTCAGCCTTGATAGGTGTTCAGGCCCTCAGCCTTGATTGAACGTATTTAGTCATTAAGTTTTGATAGGTGCTCTGAGTCTTTGACTGAAAGTGTTCAATTCCTTGACCATGGTAAAACGTATGCGGTCTTTTAGCCTTGACAGGAAGTGTTCACTTCTTTAGACATCAAAGAAGGTGTTTAGTTTCTTAGCCTTGACAGAAGGTGGGGGTGTGCCATGATAAATGCTGTAGGGATCTTGATCCAAGGGATCGTAGCTACCCTCCCCATTCTAGAATCAGTTCTGAATGCCCCATTCACCATTCTTATTATTAGTAATGATATTTTTATAATTATTATTAATAACATTACATTATATTTATTATTATTATTATTATTATTATTATTATTGCGGAATGTCACGGGGAGTAAGAAAGGTAGGAGCATGAACAAGCAACAGGATGAAAGAGATTCCTTCTCACACGTTAGAATGAGATTCGCGGAACCACGCCTTTCCGAATTATAAAGAGTGAGAGAGAGACAGACAGACAGAGAAGCAGACAGACAGAGAAGCAGACAGAGACAGAGTTTACATGTAAAGAACAGAAGAATTTTTGAAGCCCACACCGAGTTTATAAGATAAGAGATGAGATTTCTTTCGGATTTTTAATCCCGGGGGGTTAGACACCCAGGATTACCTAAGAAAGTCAGTGCGTCATCAAGGACTGTCTGTCTTATTTCCATTGTGGTCCTCAATCTTGTCCCCCAGGATGCCACTCACACCAGTCGACTAACACCCAGGTACCTACTTGCTGCTAGGTGAACAGGATAATAGGTGTAAAGAAACGCGTCGAAATGTTTCTACCCCGCCGGGAATCGATCCGGGATCTCCGTGTGTCAAGCGAAAGGTCTGACAGCCAGGCCACTATCTACCTCAGGTAGATTAAGAAATATCTTGTATTTTATAAGTGTATAAGTCAAGGATATATAACCTTGTCAAACCCAGTGTAAAGAGAGAGAGAGAGAGAGAGAGAGAGAGAGAGAGAGAGGACAGAGAGAGGACAGAATTTATGAGAGATTTAACAAAACACACCAAAAAAGAGTGATGTAGAAGAAAGAAACAAAAACAGAAGGATAGGATGAGAGGGAATTTAAAACTAGAAAATATGACAAGAACTATTCACCCTCTCGTGGGATCCATCATTTATATCTCACCGTTTAGGTTCCAGTACGCCTTTAAGCTTCATATCTTCACTTCTCACAAGTCTTTCCACCGGAGACTTGCTCAACTTTCCTCACATTCGCTGATAGCTGTTCCTGCCCTCCTGCTTCATTACTAAAAATCTTTTCTGGATATTAAAAGATTCCGTATCACGTTTTCTCTATTCGTCATCGCCTCTCTTATCTCTCACTCTCTCTCTTTCTCACTGATTTTTATCACTGAATCATGCATTTGGATAATACGTGATGGTCCTTGTCTTCTTGGGTTCCTAACTTTATTTACAAGCTATGGGCTGTTACATCAGCTCATTTAAAAGTCTTTTTCTTGTTATCGTCATTATTATTTTTGTTGTTGTTATTCTTTTACTATTATTATTTTCATTTCCTTTGTTATCATTATTTCTTCCTATGTTATTATTATTATTATTATTATTATTCTTATTATTATTATTATTATTATTTCATTGTTATTATAACGTTAAATCCACTATAGCCATTCTCTCTCTCTCTCTCTCTCTCTCTCTCTCTCTCTCTCCACACACACATACACACATTCGGTAAGGCGTGTTCCGCGATTCATATTCTCTTGTGTAGCATCTCTGAAGGTAGTGCAGCATCCCCCATCTGGAAGTCTCTTTCATCTTGCTGCTTGTTCATGCTCCTACCTCTCTTACCTCCCATGACACTCCTGTCTCAGAGACTCAGCCACTGCTCGCGGACACAAGATCTAGTTACTCTGTACCTCAGTCTCCCAGACACTTACCCACCACTAGCAGCTTCACCCTCAGGTTCCTGGTGGGGGAAGCCATGAAGTCAACTCTGCATCGGTAGTGGCCGTGGTCCTGGGGGTCCACGTCGTCGATCACCAGACCAGAGGGCGAAGAGACCAGGTCGAAGTGAGCTCGACCTCCCAGCTCAGACCAGTGGATCGACCTCCCCAGGGGACCAGAGCGAGCGTCAATACTGTAGGTACAGAAATACATATATAACAAAGACTGCCTGGTCAACCAGGCTTTTATTGCTACTGGCGTGCACGGGTACATATCCATCAGAACCTGGCTTATCAGGAACTTGCAACAGGTATAGTTTCCTCTTGAAAACTTCCAAACTTTATTTCCCTCCGGCTGAAAGTTACAAAAGGAGTTTATTCCTATTGAGAGGTATTATTCACTGGTGTGGGTGATGAAACAGTACTGTGATAAGATTTACCTTCACTTCAGTGACTGTTACTTTGCTTCTTCCACAATATTAACAATCAGTTTTCATTAGAACTATGGAACAGAACTCTTCTCCAGGCTGAGGGACTGACAACCTCAAATCTACTTCTACTGCTCTTGTATACTTTCTGTACTCGACTACAGAAGCCTACAGTGTAGGCGGAATGTTTTCGGATTAAAGATACCTAACTGTAGCCTATGTGTCTTACCTAGATACTTGGAGGTTACCTGGAGGTTATTCCGGGGATCAACGCCCCCGCGGCCCGGTCCATGACCAGGCCTCCCGGTGGATCAGAGCCTGATCAACCAGGCTGTTACTGCTGGCCGCACGCAGTCCAACGTACGAGCCACAGCCCGGCTGATCCGGCACTGACTTTAGATATCTGTCTTAAGAACTTATCAAGCCTATTTTAATATTTGTCCTCGCCAGGTCCAGCATACCTGGATACAACGAACGAAGAGCATATCTAGAGGTATACCTCCGTTGGTGTAACCAAGAAAGTCTTGGTTAAAGCCTTTGAGTGATATAGTTAATGGGGGGTTAAATCCTATCCACTACGGTTATTAAAGCCAAATGTAACCTTTCTCACCTCCAGAGAAGAATAGTTTAATGCCTAATATACGGATTAAACTAAACTCTCAGCATAAATACACTGAGAGAAATACACCTCACGGTGAGTATATCCTGTGTATAGAAATTTTAATACACTGAAAACGTTCTCGTTATAAAACAGAAAAAAAACGGTGATATAAGAATAGAAAGCACAGAAACCTATTCTGTTCATATTTTTACCTCCGGAAAAAAAGTGCTCTCGGAAAACACTAAATTAATTTTAGTCTTTAAAAAACATTTTAGATTGATAGCTAGGACGAAATCAAAGGTAAACTCACGACTATTGTAAACTGAAGATAACTCAACGATACACGTACTTAGAAGACAGAGGATGATGACTGTTGTCTTTACTCTAAGTGCGAAGAGGTAATTAGAAATTATAAGTGCAAATCCGTAATTTCTCACACAGGTTCATAAGACAGAATCGGAGTAACTGAAGCAGCAGATCGTTCAGAGTCGGGCTCAAGAGTCAAGCCCAACCTGTAAACTTATCGCCGTAATTACAACCACATAATTAACCAGGAGTGTCTTAGTTTGAAAACCTCAAAAAAAAAAAGCGTAAATATTGCAAAAATATCAAGATTTTTCAAGTAAATTATTAAGGTTTTTTCCTTAATTTTCCTTTTAAAACGGAGTTTTGAAAGAAAATCTGATTAAACTATACGCTGATTTGTGTGTTTCAGCACATATGACTGACTTATATCTTGGGACTTATGGAAGTCATTTAGTTACTGATCCCCTGAATGACCGAAGGGTCACTAGGAACCGCCGGTGAGAGAACAAAGGTGAACGCCCAGAGGGAACTGAAATGTCAAAAAAAAAAAAAACAGAGGGCAGCGGTGAAGGCTCAGAACGAGGGGACAGAGGGCAGGGAGAGAGATATAATAAAAAATTGACAAAGTGGTGCGTTTTGGCGAAAAGGATGAAGGACCGTCATGAAGAATAAATCTCACAATACCGTGGCTGAAACGATCACTGAAAACCCGATTTTGGACAGGAAATTTCTGACGACGTTTCGGTCCGTCCTGGACTATTTTTAAATTACAATTAGATGATGAAATGAGGAGAAAATTCCAAGATAGGTGGAAAAACGATGGGGAAAAAGTAATTAAAAGTCAGATGGAAAGGCCATGGAAAGTCATATAAACTGATAGCCAACAAAGGCACTGAACCATGATCAGAAGTGCTCCACAGAAAACCCATATGCCAGGATAACAGCGAAATGCTGACTACAGCCATGAGGAAAGGGCGTCAGACATTACTTATGGTAATGATGTATACACACAGGCCCGCACCCTGGTCGTTATTACCAATGGGTCATTACATATCCTTGTGATAAAGATATTATTATTATTATTATTGTTATTATTATTATTATTATTATTATTATTATTATTATTATTATTATAAGTGATGGTACTGGCGATGACAAAATCGAATGTCAGACACCTCCTTTACATTTCAAAATCATATTTTTTTCCCTTATTCACAACTCTCCCTTACACTCTAGCAATGATTTTTTTTACATTATATATAATCACAGTCTTGACTAAGACCCACTTTAACAGGAAAATTTTCCACAAATTTCTTTATCTGATTCATGATCCCGTCCATCCATTTTGATTTTCACACTTCCAAGTGTTACTGTGTCACTTCCATCATACTCTTCTACCAGGTGAAGCTCAGTTCAGCATCCCTGTCTAACCGCAAGATCAAGTTCAGAATGCAAGGTTAATCGCAAGTTGGAAGTCTAGCATCCGTTTATGGGTGCTGCAGATTGTTCAGCACTTCTGTAAGCACACAACATAAGGCCAAATATCCCAGGATTAATCCACTGGAAAAGCTTCAATTCAGGATACATGCAACGTAAAGTGTATTATCCTGGGATAAGTGTAACGGCACAATCTCTCCTCCGCCCATTCAGACGTCTCTTGACGTCAAGGAAATGTCCATCCACAATATTTTGCCCCCTTACACCTAACCAGAGATAAAAGATCTCTCAGAGGCCACTGACAGTGCCTCTATCTCTCTTTCTCTTTCTCTCTCTAAGGTCTTTGATCCTCTCGCTCTCCCTCCTTTTGACGTCTCCTTTTCCTCGGTCTTATGCCTTTGAGGGTTGAAACTCACTAATGAATTAAACAGGGTATCAAGCTTCTCTGCTTCCTTCGGCTGGACTTTATCATCTGTTGTTGGAGTCCCAGTGTGATGATCACGACCAAGAGGATGATGACAGCGATGATGATGATGATAATGATGACGATGATGATAATATTGCCGAAAAACACAAAACTTCTATTACCATTGCAACTACTGCTGATAAATACAACAACAAAATGAGAATAATAATATAATAATAATAATAATAATTAGAAGAAGAAGAAAAAGATAAATGAGAATATAATAATAATATTAATAATAATAATAAAATAATAATAATGCTTGTTTTATGCTTTAATAATAATAATATAATAATAATAATAATAATAATAATAATAGAAACAAAAATAATAAACAAAACAATAGCAGTAGTGTCATTACAATATCGTGACTCGTAACAACAGGTGTCCTCGTGTAACTACAAGCCCATTCATGACACCTGCCTCTCCACACACCTGTATATAGGAAGACCTGTGATCCCGTTATAGAAGAGAACGAGAATGGCAGAGTCTCCCGGGGTGGGAGGTGTGACATCACACGGCAGAAGTGTTCTTCCTCCCTCGATGGCAGACACCTCCGTCAGCGGACCTGCAGGAGAACAACGATTGGCTGTAGCGAAAAGCACAGTATATGAAATATATAACTGCACTTACCTGTACCTGCTGTTTTTGTCCTCTTAAGTATACGTGACTCAGACATAATGTGTGGATTACGGATTTTACTGAGATGACGTTTCGGCCACCGGGAACGTCAGGACTGAACGTTTTTACAGTTAAATGCCATAACCCCATTATATGCCATATTTACATAGTTATTGAGAATTCTCTAATATTAATGGATATATCTGTACAAGGATTTATAGAATTTATGGTTATGAATCATAACTGGGATACTAAACCCGAAAATATATATTTTCTTCCTGAAAAAGGCAGACGAAGTGTGAATGGAAAAAGGAAGGAAAGAAAAAGAGTTGGATAAGAAGGCGAAAAGGGAATGCGAGGAGAGGGGGAGGAAGAATTTATACCCAGAAGAAGAATAGGCAAGAACCAGAGCAGAGAGAACCTCTGGTTTACACGGAGATGCAAAAAGGCAAGAATAACTAGGACATAGAAAAACCTCTGGAAACAAACGAGGGTAAAGGACAGAAAGGCGAACAGATAAAGTCCGTAAGGAATGTTCACACACACACACACACACACACACACACACACACACACACACACATATACATACACACATACACACACACACACCACATACACACACACACACACACACACATACACACACACACACACACACACACACATTATATACATACACACATACACACACACATACACACACACACACACACACACACACACACATACACACACACACACACACACACACACACACACATACCACACACACACACACACACACCACACACACACACACACACACACACACACACACACACAGAAGTATTTCTTCAGTATTTCTTCGATTCATAGATTTCTCAGGAAGTGGAGATGTCTAGCAAGTGACGTAGTAGAAGCAGGAACCGTACATAGTTTTAAGACGAGGTATGATAAGCTCATGGAGCAGGGAGAGAGAGGGCCTAGTAGCGATCAGTGAAGAGGCGGGGCCAGGAGATGGGTACCGACCCTGAAACCACAAATAGGTAAGTACACACAAACACACACACACACACACACACACACACACACACACACACACACACACACACACACACATATATATATATATATATATATATATATATATATATATATATATATATATATATATATGCAATAAGATCACAGTAAACAGATGATTTCAAAATATGCAAAACAACCACTCTGAAAGAATAGAGAAATTCCAAGCGCTTTCGTGACTACTCATATTTAAAGGGAAAACTATGAAAGGAAGAAACCCAAGGAAGCTATAAAAGGGGGTGGGCCCGCACCTCACTATAGATCCCCCCAAGGGTTAAAAACACGGGGACGCGCGGCGAGCCAACGGGGGTAGGCCCTTTTGGGCAAAACCCCCCCTCCCCCAAGCTATTTATTTGTCCAGTGTATTTTTTAAATTTCCCTTACCCCAAATTCTATTAATTTAAATGGATCAAATTTTATTTTAAACCAAAGGAATATTCATATTATTGTAAAAAACCGCTTTTTATGAAACAAGTTTAAATTAAAATTTTTCCTTCGCCCATGGATTTGGGCTTGATAATACTTTCCTAACTTTTTGAAATCAATTGGAGGGTTAAAAAATCCTTACATGAAAAAATAGAGCTTTGGGAATCTTGCCCCAGTTCTAAGGGCTATTTTATTTTTGTTTTAATTTATTCGAGATTTTTACCATTTTGGGACCGAAATAAACTTTATCGAAAATTTTAAAAGGAAATTTTATAGACACATCCATCAAAATTTTGGGGGAAATTTTTAAATCAAAATTTTTTTTACTGAAATAAATTTTTTTTGAAAAACAACTTTAAATTAAAGGTCTTAAGAAGAGAAGGCAAAATAAACCCAAATTTTTCATGGTAAGGGAAAACCCAACATATTTTTATTTTAAATTTAAGGCTGGTTCCCCCTTTTTTCGATTATAAAAAGTTTTCCCTACAATTTTAAAAAAGTTTTATCAATTATTTTTCTTGGGTATTTTAAATCATTCCCTATTTCTTTAAATTTTTGGGATTTTTCCCCTAAATCTATGAACTCAGGACTAAAAATTTCGTAAAACCTCAAAAAAAATTTGATGAGAAAAACAGACATTTTGGATCTATCTTGTTTGCGAGGAAAAAATTAGGGGGGACATAGGAACTTTTAATTTGTAGGTTTTCTAAAAATTTTTTAAATTTGAATTCATTATTCCCCCTTAAAAATTAAAACATCAAAAAAGGCAATGAGTTTTTTCTTCAAATCAACAGAAAAAGTTTATAAAAAGGGGCAAGCTAAAAAATTTTTCCAAGAAAATGGTGATATCTACATTTTTGGGGCTTTAAAAACCCCAAAAATATCAAAAAATATCTGAACCATTTAGCTCTATTGGGAAAGGTTTGGGGTTTTTAAGAAAACCTTGTTTCAAAAAATTCCATGTATGGGTTTACTAAGAACGGTAAAAAGAGGTTTTCCCCAATTGCCAACCAAACTTCTGAGTGAAAAAATTATCATTAAATAAAAATTTTTGAAACAACAATGAAAAAGTTTAATTTTTTTAAATTAAGTAGGAACAGGAAAATGGTAAATATAGTTAAACGAGTTCTTCAGATAAAAATTTAAATTAAATATCAACAGGAAACTTTGGAAAAAAGGGAAAATAACATCAAAATTTAACCATTTTAAAAAATCATTTAAGTCACCCCGGAGCTTAATTTATCAACCAAGTCAAATGTTGTTTTTAACATTAAAGTTAAAAAATTTTTTTCCCCCAACCCCAATAGGGCTAAAAAATATCAAAAAAACCCCTTTTGGAAAAATTTATATGAAACTGCCCCCAAAAATTAAAGCTAAAAATTTTGGTTTTGGCCCCTTAAAAATAAAAATCAATCCCCAAACCGGGGAATCCGTCAGCCCAAATTTTATTAGCTCCAAAAAGGGCCCAGTTTCATATAAATTACCCAAAATTGGTTTTGTTGATTTTTTTGAGCCCTATTGTTGGAAAAATTTTCTAACTTTAAAAAATTAAAAATTTAAAATTGGGCTTGGGTTGGGTAAATTTGCTCCTTGACTGAATTAAAGATTTTTAAAATGGATAGTTTTGTGTTACTTCCTTTTTTTACGAAAATTCCTGTTGAATTTTATTAAGTTTTTAAACTTGGGAAAAACTGTTTAAAATTTATTTACCTTTTCCTGTTCCTACTATCATTAAACTTTTTAAACTTTGCATTGTTGATGCCAAAAATTGGGATTTAAAAGAAAAGTTTTACACTCAGAAGTTTGGAAGGCAATTTGGGAATCCTCTTTTACCTGTTCTTAGTAACCTATACATGGGTTTTTTTTTAAAAAGGTTGCTTAACACAATCCTCCCCAATAGAGCCCAAATGGTTCAGATAGTTGATGATATTTTTTTTTCTTATGCCCCAAAAATGGGATATCACCCCTTTTTTGGAAAAATTTTAAAAGCTTTCCCATTCTATAAACTTTACGTTTAGTTTGAAGAAAATAACTCCCTTGCCTTTTCTAGATGTTTTTAATTTTTTAAGGGTAATAAAAGAATTCAAATTTAAAAAATTTTCAGAAAAAACCCCAAAAAACTGTCCTATGTCCACTATTATTCCTCGCATTTAAGAAAAAGAACCTAAGAAAAATAAGGAAAAATAAGAAAAGGAGGAACACTGGGACAGGGGGCCCGTTGGCCCATAAGATTTGTTTAAAAAATGTCCCGTTTTTTTTCACCCTGTTTTTTAGAGCTTTAAAAGAAATTTTTAAATCCTGAGTTCATAGATGAGGAAAAAAACCAAAATTTATGAAATAGGTAAAGATAAAAATAAACCCCAAAAAATGTAATTGGGTAAAACTTTTAAAGTTGTAGGAAAAAACTTTTTTTTAATCGAAAAAAGGGCAACCAAACCTTTTTAAAATAAAAATATGTTGGGTTTTTTTCCCCTTTTCCCTGAAAACTTGGTTTTATATGCCTTTTCTTCTAAGGGCATTTTAAAATTAAAGTTGTATTTTAAAAAAACCCGGAAAAGTAAAAAAAATTTTGATTAAGAATTTTTTCCCCCCCAAAAAGTGATGGTTTTGTCTAAAAGATTCCTTGTAAAAATTTTCGAAAAAAAGTTTATTACGGTTTAAAACGGTTTAAAAAACCGAACAAAAATTAAAAAAACATAAAAAATAGCTTTTGAAATGGAAAAGATTCCAATGCTCTATTTATTCATGTAAGAGATTTTAACCATCCAATTGATTTTCAAAAAGTTGAGAAAGTAGTATCAAGCAAGTCCATGGTCGACAGGAATATAATTGAATCTTGTTTCATAAAAAGCAGTTTTGACAATAATATGAATATTTCCTTTGGTTTATATAAAATTAGATCCATTTATAATTAATAGAATTTGGGTAGAATTTAATAATACACTGGACAAATAAATAGCTTGGGGTGAGTTTTGCAAAGGACCTATCCAAGTTGGCTCGCCGCGCGTCAGGTGTTTAACCGTTGTGGGATCTGATAGTGAGGTGCTGGCAGACCCCTTATATAGCTTCCTTGGATGCTTTTACTTTCATAGTTCCTTGATAATGTGAGAGTCACGAAAGCGCTTGGAATTTCTCTATTCTTTCAGAGTGGTTTGTTTTGCATAATATATATATATATATATATATATAATATAATATATATAATATATATTATATATAATATATATATATATATATATATCCTATTACTTATAAAAAATGTGATAAAAATGGAAAAGGTTTGTAATAGATGATGGGAGCACCAGTGTTACTACACTCTGTAACACCCAGTGTTACTACACTCTGTAACACCCAGTGTTACTACACTCTGTAACACCCAGTGTTACTACACTTTGTAACACCCAGTGTTACTACACTCTGTAACACCCAGCGTTACTACACTTTGTAACACCCCGT